ACACCGTTTCGTACTCCATGCTCTAGTCCATAAGTAAACTGAACTTACTCTCCACTGAACATACTATATGCTCCTGAGGTTTTGTCATAGATTTATCAGAATTGTTACCTCTTCTAGGTTGCTGGAGTGGCTGCTAAATCCACTCAGTATACACTCTTTGTTAGCCCAGTATCCATGAATATATCTCAGTCCACCATTAAACAGTAAGCTCCTTGAATCCATCACATCGTACTTAACCATTTAGGTACCATGGTACCAAACTTCATGACCTGAAAGTGCATGATTGGTAAGAGCTCACTCATATTCCTCCCTTTATTCATAATCCCTCCTTTATTAATTTTTTAAGATCTACCTCAAATTTCTTCTTTCTCAAATTGTTGACTGTCCTCTCCAACTCCGTTTTTCAGATGATGGAGAAAGGTAGAGCTTCCAAGAGCAACAAGACTAAGCAGTCTGTTTACTTGTGCCTTCCTATTACCCATCCTGAGCTTTTTTCTCCTGTCACTTTCTTTTGCTGATAGGATTCCCCACAGCCACCATCATGCTATGCTACCACGTTCTGAGGCCTTAAATCAGAAAGAGTTAAGTCATGGTGTCTTTCTCCTATGATTCCATCAACTTTAGCCAGGGTTCCGACATTATGGCTGATTGATTTTTATAACTTTGACCCTCCCCATCAAAACTGCCAACTTCTCAAATTGATTTCATACATACAAGGAGAGATTAAGCATTCTCAAGCCGTAAGATACTACTGATTAACCTAAATGAAATGAGAAGAGATAGCATTTCATTTACTTTATGGACGCTATTTGGGACAGTTAGAACTTTCCAGTTCTTAAATTGGTTCCTTTGATAATCTGTAAGGCTGGCCTTTGCAATGGAGATCACAAAGGCACAGGTTCTTCGCCTCTGCCCATTCCATCAGAGACCAGAAGGAGGTGTCAGTTATTCTTCCATTTTCCTCCATTTCTTTTTCTCATCAATTTTCATTTAAACTCGCAAAATTCAGCCATTAAGTCTAATATAAATAATGATGGAAATTATTGATATGAATTATTTTGACCACTTTATATATAATTTATAATAATTTTTAAATTTTTTTCAATATATACTTTTACATATCTTAGGTCATTTGATCCTCACCACAATCTTGAGCTTAAGGTAATATAGGCATAACCTTACTACTTTTCTGGATAGAAATGAGGTTCTGTGAGGTGAAGGATCAAATCCAAGATCACACTCCAAGTATTCTGGCTTGGAGTTTGGAACTTTCCCTCTCACCGCAGTGTTTCTCACTGATGTAAGTACAGTTACAGCTGAGAACAGCAGCTGATGGACAAGTTCTCAGCCAATCTAAACTGAGGAACCCAACAGACATCGCTCTTTAGACTTTGGAATTTCTTGACATGGACAGTCCTCACAGGATACAAAGCCTTCACCCAATAGTGAATCCAGACACTATCAGTGAGTTCTCACAATAAATTTCTGCTTTACTCTATTGCCCTTTCTAGGATCCTGAAATTAGTTCTTAAACTGAGTTCTCTTCATATTCACTCCAATTGATTTCTGCTTATTTTATCATGGTAAAATTTCTCCCAAGTTTTTCTCCTAAGGAGAAACTACCCATAAACTCAACCTTAAGAAGGTCAATCTCCACACAAGTCTTACCCTCCAGAAGCCCTACTCTAATAGGAATTGGACTTTGAGATCAAATGCTATTCCCAAGAAATCCAGCACTGCAAATACAAATCATTACATGTCTCACTGCACCAACAAAAGTTTAGAATTATCAGGGACTATTACAACTAATCAGTCTTAAATTTAACTAATCCAACCCAGAAATTTTATATCGTGTTCTAAGCACATAACTTATACCCCTGAACCTCATCATAGGAAGAAGAAAGATAAAAGAGCAGAGATTCCGCCATCCAGTAATTCTACTGTTATTCATTTTATATACTCAGTTCTATATAGTAATTCCTTTGCAGGGGGTGGGATAGTTTTCCTTTCAAAAACTGCTTATCTAGTTCAACCCCCATATCTTGTAAACACTGAAATGGAATTACAGAGAGATCGCATGTTCTGCCTAATGCTGACAAAGTTCAGAAGATAATTCATTTCAATGTATGACAAAAACCACTGCAATGATGTAATTAGCCTCTAACTAATAAAAATAAATGGAAAAAAAAAGTATTGAATAATAAAAAAAAAAGAAGTCTATCTCCTATGTCCGCTGTTCTTCCTATTACACTATGTGATTGATGAGACGACCTTCATTATTAACTGAAAATCTCCATGAAGATGTACTAGTGTTAAGCATATGATATGACTGCAATAAGTAGCTAAACTTGTGTTTGTACACATGTATTTTAAACAAATTATCTTTAACATTCTTGTATATTCCCATACTTACAAGCACAATGGACACTCAACACCATTAGATGGTACAATGAATAAATAAGAAAAACATCACATATGTTCTAATGCCATACTTTTTTGTCTCATCATGATGACAAAGCTTAATTATCTCTTCAAAGACCCCAAATGGGGTCACTGTTGCATCCAGTCATCTCTTTCAATTTAGAGTGAAAGGAGTACTTTGAAAGGTAAAAATGATTGTCATCAATTAATATATAGTTAAAAATATTGATTTAAAATCTTGTATGCTTTTCTTCAGTGTGAGTAATAAAAGAAACACATCAAGTGACTCACCTGACACATGGTATCTGGAAGTATACTGACACATTTTTCCAGAATGTAGAACAATTCAGAAACTTCTGCTGGTCATGCTATGTTTGTCAATTTCTATGGCACAGGCTGACTTCTACTTATTATTCAATACCTACAAGTCACAATCTTGTGACATAATTTATCTCAATCTAACTGCTGAAAAAAATCAATAAAATAATGCCCTGTCTGCCTTTAAATATTCTCTAGCTCAGTGACTTATCAAAAAGTATGATGGGAAAAATACAAAACTTAGTAACAAAGCATTAGCATTAATCTTTCAGATGACTAAAATAACTGTTGGTTGTTTAGCTATTGCTCATCTAATGATATCTCCAGAAGTAATAACAATTGTATATTTAAACAGCAGAGTAAATTCTTACAAAAAAAAGACAACAACTACAAACTGAAAATAAAATTTTAGAGCCTGTCAGGTGTTTTTCAGGTGAGAACCACTACTTAAAATAATATATAAATGAGCAGAACTAATTAAGTTAACTATTACAAAGAAGAAGAAATGAATTAAGGTAAGTGAATACCTTTTTGCTTTGGGTAGGAGAGTTTTCAAGAGTAACTATGCTTCACATGCAACAAAGTATTTAAATTTTATGTCATATTTCCATATATTTTATGAATTCCTTTATATGTGCTATTATATATAACAGTGATGCATGTAATGCCTTAGAAGATGCTATTACTGAGTGTCCATAATTATCAAAACTATTTTTCAAACATATATCAAAAAGTATGATGGGAAAAGTACAAAACTTAGTAACAAAGCATTAGCATTAATCTTTCAGATGACTAAAATAACTGTTGGTTGTTTAGCTATTGCTCATCTAATGATATCTCCAGAAGTAATAACAATTGTATATTTAAACAGAAGAGTAAATTCTTACAAAAAAAAGACAACAACTACAAACTGAAAATAAAATTTTAGAGCCTGTCAGGTGTTTTTCAGGTGAGAACCACTACTTAAAATAATATATAAATGAGCAGAACTAATTAAGTTAATTATTACAAAGAAGAAGAAATGAATTAAGGTAAGTGAATACCTTTTTGCTTTGGGTAAGAGAGTTTTCAAGAGTAACTATGTTTCACATGCAATAAAGTATTTAAATTTTATATCATATTTCCATATATTTTAGGAATTCCTTTATATGTGCTATTATATATAACAGTGATGCACGTAATGCCTTAGAAGATGCTATTACTGAATGTCTATAATTATCAAAACTATTTTTCAAACATATTCTAACTCAGGAATCAAAACTTACCTGACATATCACATCACATTTACTCACAAATGCTGCAATAATGTTATTCTCATTTAAGATTATTTCTAAAAATTATCTGTATATATAAGCACACATATTTCATTTACATACATTTTTGTATTTGAAAGCATATCATATATGTGGAAAAATGTGTCAAACCACATTTTATAAATTTGGGAGATAATACCTTACATTTTGACACTCCCCCAAAGAGCTGAAATTCAAGAATACTGAGTTTATATATTTTTGCAAACTACCTATAATATTTTTGCCCTCATTATATGTTATACAAATATAAAGGGTTCTCATGCAAAAGTTCCATATACCCTGGTTCTTCATTAAATAGAGTAAGTATAAATAGACATATAAAATTACAAAAATGAGGATATATAAGCTGTGCAATTATCTGTCTTCATGGCTTGCATGTCATTATAATCTAATGGATTTTATCACAGTAAGAATCGGCAACTAGCAAGAGCAAGTTAAAATACACACGTATACACACATGTGCGCAACCAGTAAAGATGTACAAAAACCCTAGATCATGCAAGAGGTGTACAAGGCCTCATTTTGGCTATTTCTTCCATATTATACACAAGCAATATTATATTTGGAAAAATATTTCAGAAGTGCTTTCTTTAGATGTATGTCTTTTGTGTTTTTTGTTGTTGTTGGGCTGCAGCATGCTATTTGTTACTGTGCTGTAGGTTACCCCTGAAAGTACATGGTAAACCAGTGCAGAACGCAGTTCTAGAAGAGCTGTGCCAGGAAAAACAAAATGGCAGAGAGAGAGGGACACAGGGGCTAGGGAGGAAGGAAGGGAGAGAGACTGATCTCTCATGAGATTCAGTGGTAAAATTTCTTTAAATACATTTTGGCCTTCATTTTTCTTTTGAAAACTTTGCTGTGGGGGTGGCCTGCCCCCTTCAGAGTACTGCGCAACCTTCGCAAGAGACCATTTATCACTAGTTTCCACCTTGGAGCAGATCTTCCTACCTTTCCAGTCTTAATTCTGTGAGAAATGGCTGCAAATCGATGGTTGAGCTCTGAGATTTTGGGCTCTATTACTTTCCTGCAGTGCTCGCCGCGGTTCGCCATCAAGTTTGCTGCTTGGTCACGCGTGGAGTCCACCTTGGGACGTATGTCATTCAGCTCAGCCTTTAAACGCTATATTCCGTGAGCAAGAGACAGGGCTTGGAGTTAGTAATTAAATGGAGGTTGAAAGAGACCGAAAGAATGAGAAAGCAAAAGAGCGGGGAGGGGAGAAAGAGGGAGAGAGAGAACTAGAGAGAAAGAGAAGGAAAAAGACACATGCAGAGAAAACCAAGGGAGGGAAAAGCCAACTTCCATAAAACAGGAGTAAAGTGAGCATGTGTGTGATCGCAGGAAAATAGGTCACTGCCCTTGTTTCCGTTTGAGCTAAGTTTATTTAAAGCATTTCCTTAGTCTGAAGAAGGTCGAGGGATGTTTTCCTGATTTTTCTATGTTGCCAGCAACAATTGTTGTGTCTTATACTTAGTTGTACCTTTCCTCAATTTCAAAGTTGTGGAACAACTTTAACACATGCTCAGAAAGAAAGGGAGCTGAAGAACAATTTTCTATTCCTTCCAAGGACTTAGGAATTCCCTTTTGCTTATCGTATCGATTGTCACAGGAAAAAAAAAATGGATTTTCTAACAGATAGGGATTCTGTGTCACAGACAGTGACTGAGGAAAGCTGAGCCTGACGGAGGGGGCTGGAGAGGCTGTTAGTGAAATAACTCAGTTCCTATTTTTCCAAAGACCCTGAAGGAATTTTTCTGTAAGGTGACATCCCTTACCTACACATCCAGGGAGAAGGAAGAACAAAAGAAGGTACAGACAATAGAGCAAGTATGTTTAGGGCACAGACTGCAATACATTTATAGTTTTTCATTACAAATGAATTGCAATCTGTAGAAAATATTGATTTCATAAAAAAATGAACAAATCAATTATAGAGACAGAAGCTACAGTGTTTGAGGATTCTTTAAATAGTAACCCACTAATCAAATAAAATTATTAAAAATTTCAACAAAACAGAGGAAGGCATTGTTTAATTTATGAGATTTGTTCAAATGTAATTCTCCCTATTTAATTGGAAAAGATGTCATCAAATAAATACAATATACCATTAATATGATATATTTGCATATTATAACTCTCATATCTTTTTACGGGAACCATTTTTTTTTTTAAGTAAAGACTAAGTTGCAACTAAGAAAGACAGCTTAGGATGTCCTAATAATTGGTTTCGACACCAAAAGGGAGAACACAAAGCCATGTCTACTTTACACATAGTTAAGAATGAAAAGTTCAGTTTTACGTAAGTCAGTATTGTTACTAAGATTTAGACCTTGTATAGGCAAAACATATACAGATTGGACTTCTGTTGTTTATTCAGATGGGCTGTGAATGATGCAATGAAACTAATCATCTTTGTGATAGGCACAGGCACTAACTAATACTAAAATTGGCATGATTTGCCATAGAACACTAAAATAAATCCAAGAATTCTTTTCTTATCAGGTTTTTAAGTTGTGTGTAATTAGCTGACAGATCAATATGGACAGATATCCAGATCACAGAGCTCTTCTAAGTCATGAACTCTCATTTGAATTAAAGAAGTAGGAAGGGAAGGAAAGAAGGAATTAAGGGAGAAAGGAGAAAGGGAAGGAAGGAGGGAGGGGGAAAGGAAGAGAGGAAGATGTTTTTCACTCTTAATAAGAAGGCCCTGGTATCTTTTAGGACAAAGATGATTAATATACCTGTTGTGTAGTGAGAGTATTACTAATCATAAGAGTTTATTTGCTACCTTTAGCATGTCTTCTTTTTGCTGTGGTTTCTTTTTCTCAGATTCATCCAGAAGTGCATCAGCCTGAATGATCCACTTTGTGATATGATCCACATTCTGGTCAAAGGTTTCCATGTGTTTCTGGTATTCCTTAATTTTACAGAGACAAACCATGACATAGTATTAAGCAGACAGTATTTTTAAGTATTTGTCCTACTTGCCTCAATTCTAAAATACAAAAATGTAGTAGCATTCAAATTCCTTTTAGGTGCAATCTCCATACAGAATGTAAAGATGGAAAAATATAATGTAGATATTGAATAAGAACCAACATTTACATGGAGTTGAGGATTTTGTGAACATAAAGACTATTATTGAGAGCTGATATAATGTCTTTCTTGTGATGGAGAAAGGTTGAAAATCTTTTATCCTCTTCTCTTACCAACAAAAGGTTTAGCCACTCTTCTGCTCGAGAGGTGACGGCTATCCAGTTACTATTCAAAAGACTCAGCTTATCTTCGACCAAGGTCTCCTTCTTGCCCAAAACCGTTTTCAAGGCCTCTCCTAGCTCGGTAATGCTCTTTAGGTGAACCTTCTGTTTCTCTGTCTCTTTCTGAATAGCCTGTAGAAAGAACAGCATTTGAGCCTCACATAATATATTGCAGTCTTAAGATTTAATGCTTTTGAAATGACTATGCATCTAGTTACTATGGTAAGATTTTTCAAGGGTTTAAACTTTCAACCATATCTTTGGGAATGATGAAAATCATATCCTATATATTGCAGTTCTTTACTGGGTATATATGGATATGCATTTATACATAAACATGACTGATGTCATATTTATGATTATTTCCACTTAATAATAAGCATACATACTATCAATCTAAGCATATTTATATTTACTTAATTGGTATATGTATTGGATAAATGTAGATCTTGGAAAACCTATCCACCAATAAGCAACTGCTTTTAGAAAATTCAGCAACTTTTGCTCTCTTGAAATGCTATAGCAAGAATTTGCAGATTTTTAGTGCCACAAAACTGGCATCTGGCAAAACTCAAATATCCCTTCTCATAATAATGTTTTTAAAAGCATAAAATTATATACACTAGATATTAAATAAAAATAATTATACTGCAATAAAAAATAGAAAATATATATATTTTTTTAATTTTTGAGGTGGCAATAAATGTTTTCTTTACTAACATGTGTAACTATAACGATCTAGCAACAGACATTTAAGATAATTTCAAAGAAGTGATGAGCACAACTGGTGTTTTGAATTATACTGAATGACTAGAAGGTCATATAAAATTATCTTTCATAAATTTATCTGTGACTGGTGGTAAATTCACAGGAGCTACTGATATCACTAGGGTTTGCTAGTCACACACATAACTGAAAAAAATGGTTAATTTCAGTTAGAAGTAAAGAGATACTATTAAAATCCCTAAGAGAGCACCAACACTTCCTAAGACTTCATTTTCAAACCCGAAAACAAGCACATTCAATATTAGAAATTATGCAGAGAGTTGATGGGCAACTGATGCTAGTACAAACGTTCACTGTCAGCTCTATCTACAGCCCTTTCTTGTGACACGTCGCGGTGGACCACGTGACCCTTTTGCATTTCCCTGTCTCTACTCTCCCCCCTCCCCCACCCCCTCCCCCATCTCTCCCTTACCCACATACAGTTGATGGGCATTCCCTGGTGGGTAAGTTTGAGCCAAACAGATACTCTCTCAAGAAGTTTAACTAAGAGATACAGAAAGTAGGGTAACACCTCAGCTGAGAAATCATCTGGAATGAAGCTGATGTCTTTACCATAGCAAGTCAAAGCCACAGTAGCACAAATTCTTACTGGGAAACAGCAGTGACAGGAACTGGAGGGAGACCTTTTGCACAGAGGAACATGAAATATATGCACAAAGAGTAAGATAAGTGGTTCAAGTAAATGAGAGAAAGGTGGTCCCAAGAGCAAATATCCTTAGTTCTAGATGTTCTCAAGATGCCTTTTCTATATTTGTAATACACCGAAATAATTCTTATGGTTGCCTTTCTTCCATATTATCAGGTCCTAGTCTACTTGAAATTTAGATAAATCTACAAACACACACACACACACAAATACCAAATAAGGAAGGGGATAAACGAGGGTAAAAAGGGTATAAACTAATTTCTATACAAAAGACAATCACTGTTTCTTCAATTCTAAGATAGGCTTTTCTATTTGTATTTTTATTTTTCAGTGCAAAAATATCTGAAATTAAGGTAATTAATGCTCAATGAACTTATCAGCTACCATGCAGAGGATCATTTGTAATGTAGGTGTCATCTGTTGTACATGAGTAAGCGCAGCAGTTCATAAAATGAATTCCTTCACGTATTAATGCTACTGAGCTCCTGTTAAATGCATCACTGTTTCAGCAGAGACATAGGGGATTTTACTCAGCATCTTTTATGAAATTATGAGAAATGCTGTTTTGGGGGAGAAAAAGTCCTTCTGGATTTTGACTTGTGAGTGTCATGGACTAGATTTCGGTCCTTTCATTCCCTTTGTCTGTACCCTTTGTTAGTACACAATCTTTACAACTATATGTGGTGGCAATTGTTCCAGGTACTGTGAGTAAAAGGATAGAAACAAAGTCTTTACCCTTATAAAACTTATATTTGAGTATGAAAAAAACATAAAAATGTATGCAAATGATCATTTCCTACTTCCTGTATTTCAAACTACTGCTTTGTCACTAGAGTTCATTTATTCCTAAAGGTAACACTTCACAAAGTTAAATCTTAATTTATATTTGGATCACTATTTATTTCTAAAAATAGCTTCAGAAAGATGACACTATGTTTAAACTTTGGTATAAACAGTTATGTACACAGACATCTGTCCCTTCCCAGGTCAGCCAAAGTGATGAAAGGCGATGGAAATTTTCAAATCTCAGAAGACATCAGAGAAGTTTTGAATTTAAGGAATAATGTTGCAAACAGTTAAGGGGTCACAAACAACTATTATGCATTAAAATCTACCCAAATTCTCCAGCTACTTCTCAAGAGAAAATGTTTAATGCCCAGTGATAGTTCATTCGGTCAATGAGCATAAGAAAACAAGAAATGTAGACTAATGTTTGATTTCATTTCAGGTTTTGCAATGTTATCAAACTCAAGTATGCTGAAGTTAGCACCATCATGAATATGAACTTGAAAAAAAAGCAGTGATCATTGTAGTAGTTTACAACTACTTATGGCCAAAAGTAACTCAGGAGAAAATTTACACTCCTTCTGTAAAAAGACCTAAAGCCAAACATTTACATGTAGTATTCAAGAACAAACTAGTATTGAATCACTTGTATAAATGCTATTTTGGGTTAGGAAATATATTGTGCTTGTTTATTGAATTAAAAAAAAATTCCCCACAAAAGCATTTTGAATTAATGGCATGACTTACAAATAATAAATCTTAGGTTTTAAGAAACTTGCTGATTTTGCTCTGTGATGCAAAGACTTCAACTTTGATGAATCAATGAACATCAGATGCTTAACACTCACTCTACCTTGTGTCATTCACTGCCAGAGATAAGGAAGGAGGCAATCTGTGTATACTCTGCTCTAATGTTATCTAAAGTGTAGCTGTAGAGAAGAGTTGGAATGCAATCATTTTGCTATCATATTAGAAAGAACATAATTTGGAGGAAAGGATAATTCATGGCCGGGATAATTCATGGCTGGGATAAGTGTGAATGCACTTAAGGGAGAGGTAATGCTTGAAATCAGAGTTTACCATAAAGGACTGGATGGTTTAGACTGACTAAAGACTGTATAAAATGATGAGAAAGTATGAAGGTTAGAATGAAATGCCACCGAAAGGGGAATCAGTTCAGTTCAGTTGCTCAGTTGTGTCTGACTCTTTGCAAGGAAGAGGAAAAGGGGAATATGGGGCACTAACTGGAAACTAAAAACATATATTTTATGATGTCAAGGAAACATTTTCCCATACATTAAAAGTTTCCTACAACAGAAGAACGTCTATACTTGCAGATATATTGAGAACTGTATTACTAAATTCAACTATAGCTACTGTGTTAGTCATTCTCTTTACAGCCTCACCTGGTACTCTTAAGAAAGGTAGACTTAAAACAAACAAAAAAAGAAAGGTAGACTTACTTATGGGGTTGGTGAGATGGATAAATCGAATTGAAAATGCATTTCTTCCTCTTAAAATGCATAAAATCCTCAGCATACATGTCCCCTTCTGTTGCCTTATAAGGTGAGGGCTGGGAAGGGTTTTGGAAGGTCTACACTTTTGAATGGGCAAGTTCAAATTCAATGATTAAACTGAATAAATTGAAACTCAGCTCTTAGTTTTTTCAATCTTACAGTAATGTGACAGCTTCTAGGATCAATTTTAAAGCTGAATTAAAAGCAAAATTATGAACACTCAGTTTTATTTTGACTTATGTCATGGTAGAAAGAAATCTGAGTACTGAAAACTTGATGCTTTTGAACTGGGTGTTGGAGAAGACTCTTGAGAGTCCCTTGGACTGCAAGGAGATCCAATCAGTCAACCCTAAAGGAAGTCAGTCCTGAATATTCATTGGAAGGACTGATGTTGAAGCTGAAGCTCCAATACTTTGGCCCCCTGATGCGAAAAACTGACTCATTGAAAAAGACCCTGATGCTGGGAAAGACTGAAGGCGGGAGGAGAAGGTGATGACAGAGGAGGAGATGGTTGGATGGCATCACCAACTCGATGGATGAGTTTGAGCAAGCTCTGGGAGTTGGTGATGGACAGAGAGCCTGGCGTGCTGCAGTCCGTGGGGTCGCAAAGAGTCGGACATGAGTGAACGACTGAAATGAACTGAACTGATGCCATGGTTATGTCTTGTTTCAGGAGTTTTAACAGCAGCTAAATGTGAACTATCCACTTGGTGTTCTTAGGTTTTATGATACAGGAGAAAATGTCAGATAACAGTAGAACTCAATGTAGATTTAAATTGTTACAACACCATTTCCATATGTCTTCCTTTCTTTACTAGGATGCTGCAAAATTCTTGTCTATTTGATCTTCTTTTATCTCTTGTGCAAGTTCTCCCTATTTGAAGGGTTGACTAACCCATTAAAGGTATTTTAAAAGGTTACCCTCCCAATTGAATTCTGCCTTCAGTCAGTCGCATAAATATTATACCATTTCTGGTCATCAGAGATGAGAGAGAGTTTTCACCTTTAGCTACAAAATATATTCATGGGAAGAAAGTGAACAAATCATCACATTACCACAATTCTAACATGTGCATTTGCACATATTAAAGTTTCTGAAATGGGATAAAACTTGCAATTTATATTCACACTTAAGGGAGTGGTGTTTCTTTTGATCCACAACAACTGTAATTAAATCAAGTGTATCACTTGATCTCATATGTCTTAAATGTGATAAAATATGATATTAGTTGTTTTTTAGGCCCCAATACTACTGTCATGGTTTGAGGATTAGAACACATTTTATTATTAGGCTAATGTTATGGAATAATATAATGATAAATCTTAAAAGACTATAAAACAGTAAGGAGTGGATTTTATAGTAATGTGTATTGACTTTTTATTAATAATGTATTGTCTATTAAAAAGAATTTCATGAAGGCAGAATACGTAGAACAGAAATTATAGCTATAACTATAATGACAGTGAATAGTGACTTCAGTGGCATTTAACAGATGTTCTATTTTCTAAGTAACAGCTGCTTGATGCATTCATTGTACCGAGTTAATGATCTTCTAGTGTTATTTCACTTCACAGATAAATTACTGTGCTCTCTTAAAAAAAAAAAAAAGATATGCAATTTTTCATGGGAATGATAGTGCAACAGACTTTAGAAATAAGTAATAGTTCGCATGCTTTTACAGCTAAGAGGAGTGATAAGTTGAGGCAATTATCCAGATAATCTAGGACCAGAGGCCAGATCTCTTTAAACTGTGAAAGGTGATTGTTTGAGGGAAAAAAAAAGTACTGGACATGACTGGCTAAACTGAACATAGATTTCAAAGGCTGCTAGTCTTGCATTAGCTAGTAGTTCTCAAACTGTGCTGAATATGAGATTTAGAGACACTGACCTCACAGACCAATTAAATCAGAATTTCTGGGGGTGGGCCCTCAGCACTGATAGGCGTTTAAGGTTCTCAGATGATTTCAATGTGCAACCAACATATGAGAACCACTGGCGAAACAGAATGATACATTCTGTCACATGACTGTCATTACATTTTAGGAATAAAGAGACAGGCAAAGGAGAGAAGGATAACTGAGTAAAGTTATAATTGTTCTTCTTAATGTTGACTATTATAAACATCTGTCTCTGAAATACATGCGAAAATCATGACTTGTTACGTCAGTGACTAGACATTAATTGTTTTGTGTTATTTAATACTCCGAGTTAAACTCAGCATTTATGTACGTGTATGTGTATGTGATTCTCACAGGTAACTGTTGTTATCCCAAGACTGGTGTTAAGAAAAGCTAATGGGCAATCTATGCAAAATGGTAAATATGAACTATCTAAAATGCTGAAGGATTTAAACTCTCAAAGGACCAATTATTTTTCTAGGGAATTCTATTTAACCATTTTAATTTTTAGCTAACACTGTGGATATTAAAAGACTTTAATGTGGCTGAATTATTTAACTGGCTTTGAACTTTTGACTACTGAAATTAAATGAGGAATAAAAGAAATCTGGTAGTGGTTAAAGTCAGTAAATCATGTAGATTAAACTTTGCTGAAGCTTATATTTTCCAAACATAATGATCATCAGAGATATAAACTTCTATTTAATTACATAAATATTTTTCTATGGTTAGATTTCTGTGTTCAATTCATATGTTAAACAAGTGTAGCCAGTAAAGGGATAATCAGAATTGATTTACTTAAATCTGTCCTCCAGAATGCATCCTCTGTGTCTTCATTTTAGAACATTATCTACTCATTATTTCGTCAGGACACTGACTACTTAGCCAGATGGAGACATCTTTTGCCACCCTCCTTGAAGGCTAGATACGATCATGTGACTAAGATCTGCCAAGTGGAATTTTGGCTTATTTCTTACAGCCACCCACCCTGCACTTAAATACATGAATGTCATTGATTCCCAATAAATAGAAATATAATGTTTGTTTGTGTGATAGGAGGTAAAGAAAAGTAAGGCCAATGTAACTGTTAACCTGTAGGCTCTGTACACTCACTACTCTAATGATTTCACAATATAGATGATCCTGAACTAATAACTGTAAGTCAGTATCTTATCTCTAACAAATCTATTCTGAACAGGAAGAAAAAAGAAATTCATTCTCTACTATTTATTTGAAAATAAAGTGTGGTTAATAAATTTTTACAACTGCTTGTCATCTGAATCTACACGGAGAAAATCAGTTTTCAGTTTTGGTCTCACTGTAGGATTAAGTTTTTACATAATGCAATTAAAAGTTCCCAAATTTGGTTAATCAAGATATACATCTTGCATTAAAAATAAAGCACAGATCTCTTAAACATCTAGTTAATGCAGGCATGTGTTTGTTAAATTTAAATAAAAATTGAGGGAGCGGGTTGTGCTATGATTTATTTTTTTCTAAATTCCCAGTGGCTTGGCAAAGTTTAAGGTGAAAGCACACTATTAATATCAACTATTTAGTTTGTAGCAACATACTTTCAAGTAATCCAGTAATATGTCAACTGAAAAAAAATTAAGCTATTGGTGCTTTGACCTTGAATTGTAGAGCACAATGATGTCTGATGGTTGTCAGAGAAACATTGAGAATCTACAAGCTGAGGATTAAAGGAAACCCAGGGCTGTTTGGTGGTAGAAATGACAGGGGCCATAAAGACCCCGTGAGATTTTTTTTCTTTTTTTATGATTGTGACATCAATAATTTGCTTATCTTGCAAGTTTGTCTAGCCTAACTGTCTGAAGTCTCCGCATCTTTGCCTTCCTCATGGCAGTGGGGTCCATCTGAATAGTTTCTCTTAAGCAAGCTAGGGAACACAGAGTCATATCTTTGAACTGACTTTCTGACTAATGATGTATATACATATATATATATATATATATTTTAAGGACTTATTCAGAACCTACCTAATACTAAATAACCATTGGAGAAAATCTGGCTGAAGGTTCCCATTGGCTTTATTGTGATTCTGAAATATACAGTTCAACTACTGATGAATTTTTGAGGAAGGGAAAATGAAGCATGATAATATTTATGGTTCTATTATTGTACATTAACAGCACCTTAAAAAATCATATTGCACTATGTCTTCATATATGCTAAAAATAACCTTCAGTGATATAGGTTTTACCTTTCCCCAGGCAACTTCAGAATCCAAATTACTAGGCATTCCTTCAACTGCTGATCTCTTTGTCAGTTCCATATCTGTAGCTGCCAGCCATTCTGTCAAGGCATTCATTTCCTTTCGCATCTTACGGGACAATTTCAAGCATTTCTCCAACTGTTGCTTTCTTTCTGTTACCTGAAAAGAATGACCATAAAATGTCATTTGGTTTACTTTTTCAATTCAAGTTTAATTATAGCTACTTAATTAGAACTTTCATATTTTTGTCATTTTAAAATAACCTTCTTCTTACCTGAAAAAAAATCATATTTTAGAAACATTACATATTCTGAATATTAATAGTGAATAAGCACAGTCTATGAAAGATGAGATCCTTTATCCAAAAGGTAGCATCCTGTATCAGGGAGAAAGAAAAGCTACTACTATCTTCTCTAATATAAATAAAATTAATTTATGGCCACAGTTTTTAAATAAATAAAATGATATAAGTCAAACCGAAGACATGGCATGTTTCTTTTAGAAAACCTTCAGTCATCTGTCAAAGAGATGGGCAACATTTACAATCCTCTATATACAAATGAAGCTTGCCCTTGCTGTTAAGTAATCAAAATGGGCAAAGAATACTATTTCTCTCCAGAGGCAAAGGTATTTGTAAAACATTTAGAACAGTCAATTTTACTTTCATCGCATCTTTGAAATGTCTCATTTTTGCACAAAAACAACACAAAGAATAGGTCAGTTTCTCCTTAAATATTAATTTATCATTTAAAGAGAGTAAAAAAGTTGGCACCATAACACAATTTTACTCTTATTAATAGAGAAAATCCTGACTTAATCCTGTGTTTCAGTTCTCAGTGTTTAAAACTAAGACTCTCAAAGTCAAATTCTTCCATGTTCTTACACAGAGAATGAACAAATTTGTGTTTCTCCACCACTCTTCTGATGTTCTTACATCTTAGGAATGAGTTGGTTGGCTTTAATAAAAAGCCCAGAATCTATTATCTCCTGATACATATGTGGGTGTGTAAACAAAAATAGAATAAATAAAAATCAATGATATATTAGCTCTGAGAAGATATACACACATATATATTTTGTTGCTGGTTAGTCTCTAAGTCATGTCTGACTCTTTAGGTACCCCATGGACTGTAGCCCACCAGGCTCGTCTATCCATGGGATTTCCCAGGCAAGAATACTGGAGTGGGTTGCCATTTCCTTCTCCAGGGGATCTTTCTGACTCAGAGATCGAGGTCTAACCCACATTTCGTGCTTAGAGATGGATTCTCTACCACTGAGCCACCAGGGAACCACCCCACCCCCCATATATATACATATATATAAGTTACAACCAATAACGCAGCCATAAGCATGAAGAAATGCCACAGTGAAGATTTTTTTAATTAAACACTGCAATGAAAATAAATACCCTGAAATTTTGAGACAAATTACAAATACTCAACAAAATTTGCTTCTTTAACAGAGGTGGGCACACATTAAAAAAAAAAAAATTTAGCTGTTGAAGCTGCAGATTCAATGTTTGTTTTACAGATTTTTCCTTCTATTCTTCCCTTCAGAGAAGTGAAAGCATTTGCCATTTTGAGTGTAAGGATTTTATTTGTGTGCAGCAGGAAAAAATATACACCTTCATGGTGTGTTTCTATGCATACTTATTTTTTCTATGCATTATTGATAGAAAAGAATTCTAGATTCAGTATTTCAAAGAAATTCTATCTTCCCAGAGCTCATGCTTTATTGATTTTTATTTATTTGATTTTGTTTATATCCAGCTAAATAGTTTTTTAATAAAACAGGAGATACTGCCATCTTAAGGAAAACTGAGTTTTACACTTTTTCTTTTTTTGGTGGAAAAATGATACATTTAAAATAGTGCCACCTGCAGTAGAAACTTTCAGCCATCACCGTTTGATGAACACTTAAACATGTACGTGAGGTTGACATGAATATTGAGATTTTGAGTATGAGCATTTGAGGTTGCAATGAGCATTGTTATTTATGTATATTGTCATATAATTTAAAGTATACAGGGGCCATATAAGGAACTGTAAGTATTATTATATCTGTGTTCCTAGGTGTAATATCTCTTGATGAAATGATATAGATTTAGATAAGAAACTCTTTGATTTTTAGTCAATGAACAGTTAAGCTAAGTTGGTGATACTAATCAAACTAATAAAACTGTTTTAAGAAAAGGGTCATGGATGGAACTGAAATCCCCGCAAATCAATAAGTTGAAACCTAAGCCCCCATGTGACCTGTATTTGAATCCAGGGTGTTTAGAAAGTAATTAAGGTTAAATGAAGTCATGAGGATGTGACCCTAATCAGATAGGATTATGGCCCTACTAGCAGAGGAAGGAAAAGTTATCCCTCCCACTCTTCCCATCCCTCTCATCCTCTTCTTTCCTCCCCCCTGCCCACCAATCCCTCCTACTCTCCCTCCCTCTCCATCATGCGAGAACACAGTAAGAAAGTGACTTTCTGCAAGCCAGGATAAGGGTCCTTACTAGACTGACACCTTGATCTTGAACTTCTAAGCATCCAGAACTGTGAGAAACAAAATATTCTTGTTTAAGCCACCTACTCTATGGTATTTTGTTATGGCAGCCTAAGCTGATTAATACAAAAATTTATATATAGAGACTGAACTGAGGCAAGTAAAAATGATATAAATTCTGAAGATGATTAAAATAGAATGGCTTGCATATTTATATAAAATGATAATATATTAAGAAAGCCCATTTCCTTTGTTTTCATAAAATAAAACCATCACTGCTGAAGGTGCTTGGAAGATTTAAATATGAACAATTTTTTTCTCAGAAAGGGAATATGTGACTTTGCCATTTTCTGTAATATGATATGTATACATATTCCCTTTACCACTAATGTTTCTAAATCTTTATTTCAAAAATAAATGCCTGCCCTACATTTTTTGCAGTGTTCTGTCATGTTTTTAAAACTAAGTATGATTTCTTAGTAATCGTTCATTTTGCTTTAATGATACTACTTAGTGCTAAATGGATAGATAAACATACACTTTCAAATATGTATTTTCAGGAATAAATAGGTCTTTACATCCTCAGAAGAACCATTCACTCCTTAATAATAATCAACTCAGGGCACTAATAGTCTTCTAATACCATTTTTACTCTTCTAAATTCTAACTGATTTATTCTACATTATTTATGTTGAATTTACTCTTGCAAAGACCTTGTACAAATTCTTCAAAGCAAAGAAAAGGCACAGGCAATAATTTATACTTGAAAAAGCAGACTCTTTCAAAATATGTGAAATATAAATTAGAAGGTTTTAAAAATAAACTAAATACTTTAGATTTTTTTAAGATATCAATTGTGCATAATTACTGACTTGCTTAAGAATATATAAGGAAAGTGGGAAGTGACCAGTGTTTATGGTTTCAGACTGTCAACTAATAAGAATCGTTATTTTCAGATTTTCATTTGACTCTAAAATTCACTTTCTCTCAGTGATAAGTAATTTACAATTCATAGCTTTAGGTCATAACCTTCAATCTACTTTCAGGGTGCAATATTACAATTCTGCCTTTGCATGGCTAGTTCTCAAATGTGGGCAAGCATTTACATTTGTGTCTAAGATGAAGTGACAATTTTCTCATTGATGTTGTTATATTAAGTAAAATTGGGAACCTGAGCTGTAAAAATATTAATAGACTCTTTTCTCCCCATTGGTCTCAGTAAAGCTGTTTCTATGTAGAATGTATCAACTCCATTGTACCTAAATATAAGTAGGCATCTTAGTTTATAAAATTACCATGCTTCCAGTCATTACAAGTAAATATATACAATGAAAAGAAGGGACAAGTTTATTTTTTTTTGATTCATTATTCTAACAATCTTTATTTCAATAGTAATTACAATAACTTGAAGATAATACCTTGATTATTTAAAAGTTTTTTGTAACTTAAAAATGAACTGGTATTAAATTATAAATTAACAGATATTCTTTATATGCACAGATTATTTATAAGTAAAATAGAACACTGAAATGTTGATTATTAACCACAATTTAAGTCTATGTACTTTTTTTCCCATTTATTTTTATTAGTTGGAAGCTAATTACTTTACATCATTGCAGTGGTTTTTGTCATACATTGAAATGAATTAGCCATGGATTTACATGTATTCCCCATCAAGTTTAGAACAATGGAACTCTTTCAGAACTATCTGATGGACCAATAAAAATGTCTCTGAGTTTTATGTATTTTTTAATACGGACTTGAATGTAGAGACTCACTGATTAATTATTGTTTCTTAATAAGAATCACACATGGGAATATATCTCTATGTATGTATATATGTCTGTATCCATGTATCTATCTGTAGGAAGTAAATGATTTAGACTTTCTAACGTATCAATCGCACATAATTACCGCCTCTTGCTTTACAATCTAGAAGGAAAGTGGGAAGTGGCCAGTGTTCCTGATTTTAGCACGCACCTTTGCTCCCAGCTCATTATAATGCAACTTCAAAGCTGTTACTCTTTCATCAAGCTCTTTAGGGTTTTCCGTCTGCTTCTTCTGTACAATTTGCCGTCCAGTTTTAATCACCATTTCCACTTCAGACTTCACTTCACTCAGGCTTTTATACAAGTTCTAAGTTAAAACAGAAAACAAAACAGAACAATAAGCAATAGTGTCTGACTTATACTATCATTAATAAAAAAAGAAATGAGTTGAGATCACCTGAATTGCTTTTTTACGGTTTCAGTTTTAACAGAGTAGCATTTTGCAGCTGTGGTCAATATCTAGCTTTTGAAATTTCTATTGATTTAATGCTTCTAGTTGTAATTACATGTACATACACAGGCATGCATATTGTGCAGTTATGCTTACCAAAGTAAGGGTACATCATGCATGTATTTAATTCTTCATCCCATGTTTACAAAGATCATTTTTAAAAGCTATATGACTTCTATTTTAAATTTTGTAATTATATAATTCTAGCTGTGACATGGGAAAATTTCATTTACTCATTCCCCAGGTGTTTACTGAATGCCTATTTATACTAGACAGTATTTGAGTCACTGGAGAATCAGTGTTGGCCAAGCTAGACACTGTTCTCAGGGTGCTACGTTATAGTCAGGTTCAAATGTCTGAATTGCCAGATTGTAATTCTAACACATATTAAATCATATAAAAGGAGGGAATATAATCTTAAATGTTAATTAAATGATATAAATTTATTTTCTTAATGGAGCTACTCAATTAAATGTAGAATAATATAAAGTATTATGTAAAACTCTTGTACATCACAACTATAAAGAACACATATATTGGTTCACAACAGTATACTGCTGTAACAAATTCTCATTAAACAAGTGTCATAGCTTTCTCTTGTAGCTACTTTACTTGGAAAGATATGTATGTTTGAATGTTTGTGTGTATGTACGCATGCATATGTGTACACATGTATATGTATACAGGGATACGTAATAGTTTACATTATATATTGTCACATTAAGTTGTTCAATGGTGAGTCTGAACAACAAATACTTCTTGGCACTAAGAAATAAAGTTGCTAGTAAGTATTACAAGTACTGTTATTTGGGAGTTAGAATAGAAACTGAGTATGCTTTTTTTTTCCTTTTCAGTTTAAAATCAATTAAAACAAAGCATTTTGTGAACTCTGAGCAATTATCCTCTTCATTAAGGCTACATACATAAACTATTTTCACCTTAATTCCCCCTTTGGTGATCACTTGAAGTTGTTATTATTCCTTTATTAATACTTGTGAGCTCTTTCTGAGCTTTTCATTTTTTTAAATTCATTTACTTCTTTTAGGAAATATAAATATATTTGGGTATTTATAAACATATAAATCATTAACTGTCACACTGGGATTCAATTCCTGAATTCTGGAATCCGAGATATTTCCAAATGACTATTTTAAATGTTAAAATAAAAAAACTTTTTAAAATGTTAATGATTTACTTTTATGAAAATGAAAGTCGCTCAGTCATGTCCGACTCTTTGCAAACCCATGGACTACATATTCCATGAAATTTTCTAGGCCAGAATACTGGAGTGGGTAGCCTTTCCTTTCTCCAGGGGATCTTCCCAACCCAGGTTTCCTGCATTGTAGGCAGATTCTTAACCAGCCGAGCCACAGTACTGATAGCCATTTTCATCACTTCAATCAATAGAGAAAATATTTATCATTAAGAAAGAGAAATAAGTCTTTACACGTGTTCGGGTTCATGTTTTTAAGACTTTAACAGAACAAAAATCTTGAAAGCAAAGACCATGATTATGGTATATGTAACTGAGCATCTTAATAATGAAAAATACAAAAGTTGTAAAGAAAATATATCCTTATGGAAGGATGACCTGAATTGGTCCTGACATTTAAACCAGAAGGAGAAACAGATGATAAAGAATCCACCTGCAATGCGGGAGACCTGGGTTCAATAGCTGGGTTGGGAAGACCCCTGGAGAAGGGGAAGGCTGCCCAATTCAGTTTTCTTAGGTTTCCCCAGTGGCTCAGATGGCAAAGAATCCACCTGCAGTGTGGGAGACCTGGGTTTGATCCCTGGGTTGGGAAGATCCCCTCGAGAAGAGAAAGGCTACCCACTCCAGTATTCTTGCCTTGAGAATTCCATGGACAGAGGATCCTGGCGGGCTAAAGTCCATGTTGTCACAAAAGAGTCGGACACAACTGAGCAACTTTCACCTGAGAAATAAAGGTGACTTGTTTGGATCACCTGAGAAACAGACTGAGGAAACACTTTAATCTGGTTCCTCTGTACTGAGCTGAGTCAGGGCATAGTAATACTCAGCTGTAGGTAGCGTTTTTTTTTTTTTTTTCCAGTTCATTCTGACTAGCAGAAAAGATTTATGAAGTACCATTAGAGACCTGTTCCTAGAAGAATGGACAGCTTGCCCTCTGTGAATATATTTAGCCATGATGATAATGTACTTAGGTCATTTTGTTTTCAATTTTTTGAAAAAAATATAAGATGACATATATTTCCATGTATTCCCATTGTTACTTATCTAATATATATGCTGCTGCTGCTAAGTCTCTTCAGTCGTGTCTGACTCTGTGCAACCCCATAGACGGCAGCCCACCAGGCTCCTCTGTCCCTGGGATTCTCCAGGCAAGAACACTGGAGTGGGTTGTCATTCCTCTAATATATATAACTGTATTCAAAATTTCTTTTGGGGGTAAGAATATTTATAATAATGATGCCACTAAAATGCAGCTTTCGTTACTAAGCAATATTGCTGAATAAAAATAATTCCATAATTTTTCACAAAGAACATTTTTGTTTACAAAGAATGATATTTTCCCATTGCCATATGATGGCAATGTACCTAAGGGTTTATTTTTCATTTATGTTATGTAATAGAAGCAGAAAAATACTTAAGCACAAAGTACTCAGTAGATGAACTTTTTCCCTTTAATGTTTAATAGCACTGTGTTTTCTATGTGGATTTCTACCTTGACATTCCCTAGTACACTTAGATTTATATAAATACTTGTATTACTCTAGTAGATGCCCTCATAATTCAGCTCTAAGTTATCAGAGAAGTCGTCTGGCTTGGTGAATTTTCAATAACTGCAACAAAGAACACTACTCGAAATCCTTGTAGTGAAGATTTACACTACAGGCTAATCATATCTTCCATACCTATTTATTCTGTCTTGGTTGTCTGGCAGAATTTCACTGCATATCCAGGCCTGACTTTAAATGGAAAGATACTAGGATATGGAGTAAGCATGCCTGGCTTGGAATCTTGCTTTTGCTTTGCACTCAATGTTTGTCTTTAGATTCTCTCACTTAACCTGTGGCCCTGAGAATTAAGGGCTTGCCTGGCAGCTCAGCTGGTAAAGAATCCACCTGCAATGCAGGAAACCCCAGTTCTATCCTTGGGTCGGGAAGATCCCCTGGAGAAGGGAAAGGCTACTCACTCCAGTATTCTGGCCTAGAGAATTCCATGGACAGAGAAGCCCGAGTCAGACATGACTGAGTGACCTTCACCTGAGAAGTAAAGATGACTTGTGTGGATTGCTTTGCTTCCTTGGCACTCATTTCTAGAATCGTTTTTACTATTGCAGATAATTTCGCTGTTGCTGTCTCCAGACCAGTATGTTCTTCTTGAAGATTTCCATTTAAAAATATTTTCAAAGTTCCAAAAGAATTAAACAAAGGTGATATTCTGCAGAGTCCTTGGAAAATTATAGACTCAAAGGAGGCATTTTCAGAAGAGATATTAAGTGGTTACTATTTCGATAATAGTTCTTATTCTTGTCTCTCAATTCACTTGTGCACATTTTTGTTCTTATACCAAATACTGTTCTCCTCATTCCAATAAGGAAGTCGAGGAGCAGCTGCATATCTGCCATCAGCAATACGTACCACACAGTGATTTAACTGTGACTGTACTACTTCCTGTTCAACACTCTTTGTTTCCAGTGCAGGCAAGTGCATCTTCACTTCATCTAAAATCATCTTACTTTCCTGTAGACGCTGCTCAAAATTGGCTGGCTTCTGGAACAATCGGAATTTCATGGAAACATCTTGCATTTTTTTCTGTAAAGACAGTGTAAGGAAACATGGATTTGATTTTGCCTTCCGAACAATAACCAGTCATACTTTTGTTAATGTATTTTCCTTTATTCTGGAAGATACACAAGGATAGAAATAAAAACAAACTAAAGCAACACTTTTTCCATTTGTCCAGCACAAAGAACCCATGCATTTGGGAGAAGAATTCAGCAATCATTCTTAATGTGATACTAAATAAAAGACAAGTTATTAACCTATTTTATCCTAGAAATGTACCATTCAAAACAGCATGTATCATTTATATATCATTTGTAGCTTTCAAATAATGCCCTTAACCTCAATCTGTTAATAAGCAAGTTATCTAATGTAAACAATATTTTAATATCCAACTAAAACAAGGTCCTTAGTTAATGGAATAATATGTACCTGTGCCACTTCAATTTGGGATAGTACCCGTTGAGCAGTTTCCTTTCCTTGGTAATGTTTCTTCATTTCTTCTAAACTGATCTCATGACTCGTCAAATCAGATTGGATTTTCTGTTGGGAGTACAGCATTATAAGTCAGCATGCTCTGCAAGTTATTGCAAAGAACAAGTCACTATCCAAGAAAATGAAATTCAAAAACTCTCTCAAAACATTATTACAATGTAGCTTCTTACAACATGACAATAGGCAGATTTTTTTTACTTACCAAACATTACAGAAAATGAAATGACTTAGTTATCTCCTATTGAGATTAGTAATACAAATTAATTATCCTTTTGAATCAGTGTTCATGAACAGCTATTTCAGATATAATTTTTAGTAGGAAGTATCTATTTATTTTGAAGAAAAGCATACTTTACTGAATCATTTTTCTGTCAACCTGAAACACTGTAAATCAATTATACTTCAGCAACAACAACAAAAGAAAAGCACAGTTTAAAAAGAAAAAGTTAAAAGGTCATGGACTTGATAGAGAAGAACAGAAGGAGGGCTTGGAAGAGACGTGGTTATTGTCTAACTGGTCACAAAAGTCCTGGCTAAGGGAAACATGGACTTGTATACAAATCTTTGAAATGTTAGTTCCAGGATGAAAGAATACTATCACGGTCCCATGTCTTTTTTAAAAAAAATATGGTTGTTTTGCATATGACATACATTTTCACAATTTTAAGAATCTATCATCTTGTTGTAGTTTCTTATAATTTCTGAATTATTTCCATAAGCAGGTGTCAATATCACATGTGTCAGATGGACCTTCCAGGGACTGAGGGAAGCTTCAGAGCAGATTACTGAAAGGGTGGGATGCTCTCCCAGGTAAAGCCTCAGACAGTGATGCAGATGTGACAAGGTTTATGTTAATCCAGTGAGGAATCCTGGAAAAGCCCCACATTGAACAGAGACAGCCAAATCCTACATTCATCTCATGCTCAGTCACTGGTTGGGGCTTTTCTAGAAAGAATGTGATCTCAGCTCAAAAGTTCGGTTGGATTCGGAAGGGGCTGGAGTTGGGGGCTGTGAGCTTCACTGAAGGTGATCTGAGCTGCCCACTTCTGTGATCACTGTAAGCACAGTTTCTAACAGACACACCCAGGAAGTATCTACTTATATCTAATATGTGAAAATTATATTCTTTTACCTTTGAATTCACATTCAAATCTGACCAAAGGCAAGATGTTAGCCATTATTAATTTAAAAAAAAGCTAACTGTTGCAGCAATGTCATAATGAGGAAGTTGCATGTGGACAATATTCCTTAATAGTGATCTTTACTCAGAAATTCTGGGCTATATTTCAGTTAAATTTCAAACAAACTCTGTATCTAGGAAAGGGAAGCTAAATGTCTCGACGGCCTTGCTTTCTGATACATACTTAATAGCTTCCTACAGAGATTGATTTTTAGACTTTAAATAACCAAAAAATATTTCTATATTTTCTAAAATAAGAAAAGACATGTATGATCAAGTTGTATTTAAAAGAATGTTTGTATTTGACTTATACACTTCTGAGCCAGTTACAGGAGTGGGTCACATCCTGCAGTGTGCAGAGGCAAAAACGATAAAATCATTCACCTCTTCCTATCAGATCCAGCAAAAATTAGCTACTGGTCAAATTATACTAATTTAAATGTAAGTCATTGCCAGATTATAATAAATAAGAGAAGAAAATGATTAACTTATACCATAGGACCCATAAAATTTTCATGCACAACAATTTGTATAATACATATTAGCATAACCTAATTTACACCAATTGGAGTCAATTGCAGTACATATTACTGGAAAATAACACCAGTTCGCTTAGCAGTTACCAAAGAGAACTACAGCCCTGAAATGAGTAATAAGAATTATGCCAAGAAAATGGGTTAAGTAGTAAAGGAGTTTTTCAGAATACAAGGTTATAAATGTACAGATACACCTTGATATTAATACTTAGCATATTGATCCTAACAATTATAAAGGTAAAGTGCCAATTATTTAAGTAATTAGAATTCTGGTTTAAAGTGGAGCAAAGACTCAAGCAAATATATATATATATATATGTTTACTGTATATAATATCTTCAGTGGTTGAATCATGACATTCCGTAAGAAATAGCAGTATGCACATATTCTCTAGGAACCAAAGAATTTGGGGTTAGGGGTCCACATTAGTGCATCACTGGGGGCATCAGATGCTTTAGGGAGTTTATGGTCTTGACTTCTTAGGTGGAAAATGCTCACCCCTTCAGAATGGTGGATCACTAACAACCATGTCTCTGTCACATATTTGGCCACCGCCAAGACATGTAATTATAGCATGAGGAATGCTTATGCCCAGTTAGGTCCATCAGGTTCTCTCTCAGCACTGACAGAAGAAAGTGTGGTCAAGCTCTGTGGGTGCATGGAACTTTCTTACGTATGAGACCATGCTTATGAAGTCCCTAGTTTGCACTGTTAGTTTAGGAAGAGCAAAGGCCCATGACCAGAGAGAGAAAAAAAGAGACACATAAACAAATATACTGAAGGCTTTCAAACATATGCTGAAGTAGACAGCAGCTGCCAAAGATGGCTGCAACAAGAGTGCCAATACCATATGCTCCTCTTACCATTCCCCCATTAAGAGGCAGAATTCATTTCCCCACCCCTTTAAATCTAGGTTAGCCCTATGACAGCCTTGACTGGTAAAACAAAGCAAAAGTAATGATTTGTCAATTATGGGAAAAGCTCTTAACTGAGCTAGCAGCTTTCGCTTCTGCCCTTTTGGAACATCCAACTCTTAGGAACCCATCTGACATTCTTTGAAAAGCCTAAGCCACACAGAGAGGCTGTGGAGAAGTGTTTCAGTAGAGTCCCAGGACAGCTTTCACCTCATAGGGAGCATCATCTTCTAGACATGAGGGAGCCATATTGGATGTCCAGTCCATTTGAGCTCACAAGTCACCATGGTAACCACCCACAAATAAAAACAATCACATGGGAGATTCCAAGAGAAACCATCCAGCTGACCCTTCTCAATTCACAAACCATTAGAGAAATGGATACTTTGCTGTTACAAGTGACCAAAACACAGGCTCTAATCCTTTCCTGAGTAAAAACTTTATGCTTACTCTTGATTTCCATGAGGCATTCCTATGTCCTTATGACCATCTCCCCTCCCTCATTTTTATTTTTGCTTTAGTTAATTCATGTTGCTACTTGTACTTAACTGTCCTAAAGAGTATACTGGATGTGCAAGGAGATGAGAGCTTTAAAAACAAACACATTCTTGAATGAGGGAAGATGAGGTATGGACAGGGCACTAAACCACATGAAGAGTTAGCAGAACTGAAATAATTCGTAGAGAATTAAAGCTCATCCTGAAATATAACTAGAAATACAGGTGGGAATGAGGTATTAAATAACCCCATGTATTAAATGAAAAAAAAATTGTAGTATTTTTAATCTGAAGTTAAAGTTTAAATTTTAAAAGTGATCAGAATCACAAATAGTTTTACTGCTACTACTTACTCTAATTAATAAAGCAATTTATAATGAGAGAATGCTTCCATAAACTCTGTAATCCTTTGATATGAATTTGTGTTTTATTAATCACCATATAGAGCTACACATGTGCGTGTATCTTTCTTTTCAAAACAGCAGCATGCACCTGTACAAACAGCCTTTATTTTGGTGCACTCAACCAATAGAGGGAAGTAGAAAGGGAGGGCCAGGAGACGACCATGGAGAAGAGAGAAATTTAAAGGATGGGAGAAAAAAGGAAACACTGAAGAAAGATAAGCAACAGTCTAAGAGAAGGATAAAAGGGACAACCAGGAAAGAGAGAGGTTGCCACCGAAATCAAGTATGTGAGAGTTTTAAGAATGAGGGAGAGGTGGACAATGTCAATTTTGAAACAGATCAAATAAGAATAAGTGCTATTAATAAGAAGGGCATATTAGCTGGTCAATGAGCACTGTAGCGAGGAGAGAGTCAGTGGATGTTGAAAGTAGTAATCAAATTTTCAAGGGCTGAAGCCTGATTAAGGACAAGGAAAAGCCCTTATAAAAACATTTTAAATCAGTTTTGAAGACTTCTCTCCACATGAAATGTAGGACAGTAGAATTGAACAAGTATTAAGGCCATGTGAAAGGAGCCAGTGGATGAAGCATTAAAAAAAAAAAAAATGCATGGAGTTAATGTATTACAAAACACCCTGGAGGAAATGAGAGAAAATGGAGTGAAGGGCAAAAATCTTTAATCAATGGGAAATATTGACAGGTAGAGGAGTGCCACTTTTTCAGAAGTCAAAGGTAACACCTCAAGATGATTCTGGATGTGGAGAAGTGCAAAGTGCAATGCTTCCTACTTGATGCTCTCTGGGAATCAGTATAGATAAAGCTGGGTTTAAATCTCAGGGTTCTGATTTGCCACCTGGTCAACACAACACTCTTTCCAGCCTCCTTCGAGGGAGGGGAGTTGGTCATAAGAACACAGTAATGCTTCATGGAAATCAAGGTGAGCATAAACTTCTCATCTCTAAACTTATGGTCATAATGACAAGCCAGCAATGAAGCATGGCCATCATCTGTAGGCAGAGTATCTGGGAAAATTCTCATGTCTGCAGTAGACAACTCTATTGGTTTTGGTAATGAGATTAGAGGCAGTTGTATAAGTAAATCCCTGCTCAAGTTTTCTGCACAAATATCTGTTCATGACTTTTCAGTGCCATTATATATCATTTATTTATGAACACAATCCCCTTGATATCTTCTGAGGATGAGAGGGTTGGTGAGGAATCCAAAGGAGAGTGAATAGTCATTGTGGAAATCGAGAAAGGAAAATGATGAGGTGAAAATTAAAAAGACATTCAGAGAGAGCAGAGGGCTCAAATTCTATACCTCTAACAGGATCTGTTCACATGTTTTTAACTCATTAATCCATTTGGCACTCAAGGTGTATATTACAAAGGAAACAAAGAAATATACACATAATTCCATCAACCTTTTATACTAGAGGGGTGAGAGAAGAGCCCTGAAGGAAAAACCATCATCACTGCCAAAGTAGACATGTGTGTGACCTTATATCTGAACAGTTCA